AACGAAAAACGGAAAACTTTTGCCTCTGGGCTCGTTGAGTTCTGTGCCGCTTTTCATTAATTAAAGAACTGCGAGTCCACATTGGTCGGACAATTCTCGTTTTTGGGCATTTGGACAACTGAAACAGACATTTCGGCTTGCCATTTGCAGACAGTCTGTCTGCCGTCTGCCGTCTGTCGTCCGTCGACTGCCGACTGTCGACTGTCCACTGTTTTATCCGATTAGCTTGCTGCACTATTTGCACAGACAGAGATGAAAAGGCAAGTCTGGAACTGTTCAAGTGCACTTCCTGCTGCCAACTTTGGGTGCTTGTCGAATGTCAAGTGGAAAATGAATTGTTGAAAGCAGCTCACGCAATAAAGCCGAACGAGCTCCGAGCTATCGATTTGCCGCTTTGCCGTATAATGGCTGTAAATTGTCGCTGAAATGCTTTTAATGTGTTTGGCAGCTCATGTAAATTACTTCGCACCATCTACTATAAGAGTATTAAACTGTTTACACTGCAAACTTTATGCAAACAAACAAGCGACTAAAGCAACGACCAGACTGAGGAGGTTGATGGGGTGATGAGTGGGGGAGAGGGGGGAGGGGGAGAGTGGAAGAGAGGACAGGGGACTTGCAAGATACTTATATGAAATTATATATACTTATATGTGCTGCCAGATAAGCTGCTTGGCATTAACTTTGTGGACTCACGTTTAATGGAACTTTTTTATTACCTTCCGTTGCGGTGCTGAGCCACTCGAATTGCCGTCATTCATTTGGAATGGATATTTTAAAGCTCTTTCGATTGGCAAATTAATAACGATATTTATGTGTGACCGAAAGAGGATTAAATATCTGAATACATATTGTACTGATTGGCTATGAAAACAGTATATATATATATGTATAAAAATGCATTAATGAAACAACAATTCCCATCAGAGCTGCAAATTGATTGAAAGTGCTTTCAGTGCTGCACTTATATAACAACAATATCCGCATTTGCGAGCATGTCACTGAATATTTTAAAGCCATTTCTTTTTTGTATTTTTCCTTTTAGAAGTCAACAGCTGCTGTTGTCTCGTCGCTTGCTCTATTCATGTGATTGTTGAAGTTATGAGCCAAATACACAAAGAGATAGCGACACATGTGTCGCAGCTTAACAACCCAAGCCAATATGCGCACTGCCACCCAAGAGCCCCCCACAGGTGCTGACAAATAAGAGACACAAAAATACACACAGAGGCGCACGCACATACACACACTCACACACACAGCAATCAAATTAATTAATTAAATTCTGCTCTAATACGTGGTGCAAGTGTCGCAGCTGCCACATCTAAAACTCATTTATGCGACGCGTGTCTCCCAATGATATTCAATGTGAGCAGACAAAAAGTTACACAAAACCCAAAAAGGAATAAAAAAATAAAAAAAAAAAAAAAACTATCAACAAACACGTTCATTGGCAGCTGTGATTTTATTAGCACGGAGAAAAGTCGCCAATCAGGAGTTGAGCAAGGTATATTATATGTATATTCAGAGCAATCGCCAAACAGTAGTATAGTATATGAGACGCATTTGTATAGCAAACTCTCAGGCGCTCGAGTTACGATTGCTGCCAAAGTTGCCTTAGGCTGAACTAACTTGAGCCAAAAGCCAGCTTTTGTTTACTAGCAATGTTTGCCAGCTATTTAGATTTCATCTCATATATCTGTATGTATACATCTTTATACTTTTTTTTTATATATTTCTAGTTTTGCTTGCATGCCAAAAATATTTTGCCCAGGCGGCAAAAACCTAAAGTCTAGACTTTGATAGTGCACAACAAATCTGTTGCATATTTGTGTAAATCCCGCATTTAAGCAAAAATTTGAATGCAATAAATCCATGAAATTTAAATCAAATAATTGCAAGTGAAATGCAAAAACAAAAAAGAACTCAGAGTATGTATGCAAATATGTTGATTTAAGCAAATATTGTCGTTTAATATTCTGGATAAATATATGTGAAATCGTTTATTAAGTCATTGCAACAAAATTTGCAATATTTGCCATTTGTGTAACAAACATAATATTTAACAGGTATATTAAAATTTCTAAAGATTATTTAAGTCTAGTCTTATAAGAGTTGAAGAGCATAATCAGTATATATAGAAAAAGCATATGTTTATACATATATTCTCTGAAGAGGGGAAAACCAGTTAGAGTGAGAGATGGGAAACTGAATCTGAAATACAAATATATCCATGACAACGAAAATAATTTCAAAGGCTTTATACATGACAGATGTAAAGAACCTTTCAATTACTTGAAAGGCCCTCTTCATATATAGCTTTAAATACAGCAACAAGAGCTCGCACGAGCATCAGCTTGATATAATTTATTCCCGTTCTAGATCAGTTTGCAGCTCAGTCATAATTTCATCAAGTTTTATTTAGCTGTGCAAATATTTATGAAACAAAAAGCATATATACATATAGTATACTTTTTATTTGTTACTCAAATTAAAAGCAATGCTATTTACATTCAACGTATTTGTACGTTCGTATCGCACACAAAAGTCTTAAGTTGACAGAGTTATATTTGATTTCTGGCAATAAAAGCAAAGCGCAACAGCTTAGCTAAAAAGACCGCAAAATGTTGGCAACAAAAGAAAAAGAAAGCCCCCAAACAAAAACAAAACCAAAAGGCAATACGAAAGGCAAAAAACAAATGAAAAAGCAACAAACAAAAAACAAATGCAACCAAATATCCAACTGGGCTCGCAGTAATTTTATTAAACATTCCAACATTAATTTTCATTGAGATTAATAGCTGAGTAAATGCCAAAGATTATTATGGCAGTTAGCTGGCTAAATCGTGGTATCGTCGCCAGCGGGACTCGTGCAAATAATCCCGGCCGTGTTCAGTCGTTCATTTTATTTCTTGTTAGCAATTGGAGTCGCCCGCTGAGTTTTCAGCGCGTCAATGCAATTTGCAATTCGCTTTGCCAATTCTCCCTTGGCCAGTTAATTGTGTTGGCCTATTAACGTAAATCAGTCAGGCGCAAATAACCACAATTATATCCTCATAAACATGTCTACATACATATATATGTATATAAATTAATATACAGTAGTTAATTGGCTGCCATGCACATAGCCAAATGCGTAATTGCATATTTGACCCATGGCCTAACGTCAGTAGAAGCCAAAGCGCCTATAAACAGTGACCCAAGCGGCTGCCAGCTACGCATGTTAAACGGGTAGCCATTTGGCCAAGACCCCTCTCACAGTATGTCAGTTGAGCGGTTCCCCATGGCACCCAGCCGAATCCCGACTACCTTCGCTCTATTTGCTAGTTTATTTGTTTGCCTGCTAGCTATTTATCATGCGACAAATGCGCGTTTATCATCGCTGCGCTGGGCGTGGCGTTGCTCCCACAGCGCATTAACTGCCAGCAACTTAATGCTCTTTGGCCGCAAAGCAGCACAACAATTTTTACGTACATCAATTTCATTTATGAAAATCATTTGCACACACAAACACACACACACACATGCACTGTGAAGACTGTGCTGGCCTGGCAACAATATTGGGCGGCAACAGTGCGTATGAATATGAGCGCATAGTGAGCTATTTGAGCAACTATTTACGCATGCATGCAGAGAATGGCTGTGTGTATGTGTGTGTGTGTGTGTGCCTGTGTGTGCTATGTGCTGTGTGTGTGACGTACATGATTGATGTATGACAGCGCCCCACATTTGCCTTGCGACGTTTACTTTTATGCTAGCAGTTTCGGCTCTTACGACGCGTTAAACGAGGCACGACAACAGCATTGTGAAAGGAAAAACCTCAACAAGCGCTGTGGAAAATGTTGTTGATGTTTCTTTTACGATTTCAATCAAGTCAAGTGGATTTGCATCATTCAGGCTCGAATCGTTCCAACAACATGTCCATTGGCTCTATAGAGGACCCTTTGTCCACCAGCACTGATGTCCTTATCCCTATCAAAGAACACGCATCTATGTGGGTCAAAAATAAATTACACACAAAAAAAAAAAGAAGAAAAAAAAAACAAGTTGTTGCCATCTACCTAACCCCAGAGACTTCAAAAAGGTCCCGCCCAAGCGTTGATAAGTTCCATGGCCGGGTCTTGGCCACGTTAGTTGCCAGTGGAAAACGCGCCCGTAGCGCGCCAGCTTGTTACCATTAATTAGAATTACAATAAGGCGAACGTGACAGTCGCTTAATTATAATGACATTAATTTCACCTAATTAAACTCAACGCGTACCTGCGCCAACGACACAAGGACAACTTCACTACAGCTAGAACTTAGTCTGCGCAGTGGTGGGCAGTGCTCGACTAGGAGATACCCTAGAAGTCAAAGTTCATTCTGATATTTGCATACTAGCTATGTATGTATGTATATATGCATATGGGTTTACATAAAGAAGTCAACTTTCAAAACTGTAAATACGATACTTATCGATATAATTTGTAATTTAGCCAATTTAAATCTATTTCAGAAACGAGAATCCTAGTATTCATTATCTATGTATATAAAGAATTATAGTAATCGATATTTATCAATATGACTACTTTATAGACTAGATATGATATAGATATAAGCTTTACAGGCAAAATTATCCAAACAAAAATATATCCTATTTATTTAGTTAACCTACTAGAAAGCCAATAGAGGAACTGAGAGAAATATAAAACTTTTAAGCTACGCATACAATAATTGTACTTACATACATATAAGCTCTATATAAGCTCTATATGTATATAATCTGTATATAAGATGTATATTGTTTTATAATTTTTCAGACATACTAACTAGCTGGAGCGATCGATATTTATCGCTATAATATATTTCAATCACCGGCCGACATTCAACATACCACAGTCCTATCACAGCCAATATTCCCCTTTTACAGTTTACCCTACAAAAACTTACTATCGATTATTATCGCAGTTGATGTGTTCATAGTCTTCGATTAATATAAATAAAAACATATTACGACTTACCCAATTTGAGATCATAATCTGAAAGAAAAGTAAAGAAAAAACATCGTTAATTATTATTCATTATCCACAAAACGACACGAGCTAAAGTTAGGAACTAAGTTGAGTTGAAGCTGGAAAAGTTGTATGTATTTAAATACATAAAGAGCATAAAGAGAGAGACAGAGAAGGAGAGGGAGAGGGCGAGAGAGAGAGAGAAACACTTGAAAGCAACCACAGAGATCTGTGCATGCATAAAAATCTCTTTTGGCTTTATGGCGCACTCATTGTGTGCCGAGAAGATGGCCATAATTAAATTCACTTTTGTCCAAAAAGCCTTTGGCCGCACTCAAATGCTGGCTGGTTAACATTCGTTTGCAGTCGAGTTAATTGAGTCGCAGAAGAGTCTTGACTTAATAGCAGTCAATTAGCACATTTCTCTCTTGCTCATTTTATTCATATGCCAAACGCCGAGTCATTTATTAAAGCGATGCGTCGGCAACGTTGGGGATAATGTGAATAACGTTTAATATCAACATCTGGATGGGGGTATTAAATTTAAGGCCAGCCAGCTGAGCGCAGCTAGAAACAGAATTTAAATTCAGTCAACGTTCAGCACAACTTTGTATTAAATTACGACTGCGTGGCAGTTGCACAGTTCAGCTGAATATTTATGCTACAGCGCTTACATAGCGGATGATGCTCAGCTTTGTTTCTATTCTTGGCTTTAATGCTACACTGATGATATACAGTTACAGCAGGATGTTGCCATGAACTCCAATCAAAAAGAAGCTGGCTCCTGGCCCTGCAGCACATAAATGTATATGTATATGTATATGTATGTACATTGTATATGTAAGATGATTGTCCGAAAGTTCCACCCATTGTGTTTGCATTTAGAAATACAAAAATTGGTATAAGAATGTAATAACTGTTTGCTATAAGTAAGTCTACAGTTCACCTGAGTAGCTGCATACAGCTGACTACACTTTCAGCTGCTGATGGATGCCTTGTGGCCGTCGCCTCTGGACCCAATAGCTCCGCCGGACAGCTTACAGTGCACGGGAATGGCAAACGGAGACCGCATTGTGTACGGCTTCGGCTTTCATTTCTTTGAAAAGCCATTTGATATTTGCCAGTTAAGCTCAAGCAGCTGTTCACCCAAGAAAATTTTCACTTTTCATTTGAAATTGTTGCTGTTGTTGTTGTTATTGTTGTTGCCTTCTTTCAGGCAAGCTGACACGCTGACACAAAGCTTTTCATTTGCTGACAAAATGTTCAGTTTAAGGCAATACAAGTCTCCATTGATATTTAAAACCTGACACAGACTCAATTTAGGTAGTTAAATCCTTTTCTTTTTATTTCGGGTTTGTTTTTCTTTTTTTTTCTTTATTGTGCAATTGAAATTTGGTTTGCGCCGAAATCATTTGACTATATGTCAAACGCTTCGGCACTTAAAACTTAAATGTTAGCAAAAATGTTTTCACATTCAATTAAATCCATTTCTGAACTCTGCCCAAAACGATTGGACAGCGTTTCAGGTATTTGCAGGCAATGTCAACATCACTCGTTTATTTGTGCAACATTCCAGCTGGCAGTCAATAAAAGTCAACACTGTCCATACCCAGACACACACACCCACACAAACACACGCACATATATGTACATGCGTGTACACACATATGTAGATGGCTTCAGATATTTGGTATGCCACTCGCTTTGAATACGACAAACACGTAACTCATGCAACAAACTGAACGAACTGAACTGAAGCTGAAGCTGAAGCTGAACAGTTGTAACACAGCAGCTGTTGGGAGCTCATGAGGCAACATTCGCTTCACCCATTGCAGATGCTGTACGTGATGCTGCAGATGGCGTAGCACGAAGATAACATAATACTCTTTCAGATAAACATCTTCTGTAGAAAAGCTGACCTTGTTGACTAACAGAAGTCATACAGCTAGAAGCTCAAGCTGAGATGTATTAAAAAGCTAAATTAATGATCAAGAATACTAAATTGAAAATCATATTTAAGATAAAATTTAATAAACATGAAAAGAGAACCCAATATTAAACAGTAAAAAGTTTTATTAAAAAAATTCATGCACAACATAAGAACTAGCTGAAGCACTCAATGCCAGCTGCATGATATGATTCACATCTTCAATTTATAATCTATCCAAGCACTATCGCACGCTCTCTGCACAACATTTTATAATCGAATCGGCTGCTGCTCAAAGACTTCATGCTCTATATACTTTATAAATTGGCTAACGTCTTCTTCACATTTCGTGACAAAATTATGATGCCCTCGACAAGGGTATTAAAAATAAATAAAGAAGGGAATGTCCATTACGACACACACATTCTCATATTCGTATATCCATGTAAGTAGGGATCTATAAAATGGCTGAACGAGCGCGAGCGCACAGACAGCAGCAAAATAAAATTCCAAAATGTTGCACTTAAGAGGTAAATTAAGCCGAAACGAAATGCCAAAACGGAAGCAAAGGCGACAAGGCGAGCGGCGGCAGCGCTTTCATTATATTTCTTCGATGGCAAATAAAAAGAACCAGCTTGAAAAAATGACAAAAAAAAAAAAGAAAACAGGGAATAAAGCGCAGACTGAAAGCAGCCAGTGTAGCAGGAGTTGCCTGCAATCCCGTGGCAAACGCCAGACCACAGGCCTGACTCCGTCTTTCCGTTTCGGCTGCACACGCCGGATATTTTACAAGTTCCGGCCGCCTACCCTTGGCTTTTATGGCGCCGTTTGCATTCGGGCGAACTGCTCGTTAAATTTGAACACTGATGTGTTAATAGCTCCACATACACATACGTACATGTACATGTACACGTACGTATTCAGGCAGCGCAGTGCACACACTCGTTAAGCCAAGAGCTGTGGCTGCAACAACAACAACAACAACAACAACAATAGCAACAGCAGAGAGAGAAAAACTCGCGAAAGAAAAACAGCTAGCTAGAACGAGCTGGCTTTCCAAATTTGTTTGAGCCATTGCCAAACATCAAAGCAATTTGTGCCTGGCAGACTGAACGAGCCAAACAAATTGCCAAAATGTCACAGGAATAAAACATTTCACAAAAGGAGCAAACGGATTCGTGTTCCACGTTAGCCAACCTCTGCAAAGGTTCCCCCAAACATTGTTGACGATTCGCCAACTGCAGCAAGCCATCAATTTTAGATGTATGTGCATACATATATTGCATATATTATATAGGGGTATATGGGCATGATAACTATATGCGATAGATGTACATCTATGTACATATAAAACTAACGAGTTGTTGGCAAACTGAAGTTTTGCATATTTTATGCACTTGCATATGCCACTCACACTCGTTCGCTTGTGCTGAGGACCCATTGGAAATCAAACTCAAACTCTCATCGCACACTCCAACAAAGTTTTCGGGCGAGTGCTGAAAACAAAGCAAAGCAAAAATATATTTGCATTGCAATTTTGCATATTTGACAGAAATTGATGTCGTTTAGCCCAACAATTCAAAATATACAAAAAGTGGTACAAGAATATTTGTAAACAATCAACAGCGGCTGACAGCTGACTGCTGCTACGTCACGCATACGACGCGTGTGACCGGTTGGAGTCAATAAAGTTATGCATACGCAGCGTAAGCCGTCGAGCGTCTATTTGAGCAATTCATATATTATATATAGCCTACAGATACAACTATTGACACATTTAGTTTTCGCTCATATGCGATGAGCAGACAGCCAGAGAGAGAGAGAGAGAGAAAGAGAGAGAGAGAGAGCCAATTGAGCAGCTCATGTTTTTAGCGCTAATGCCAGCCAAACGGTTGCCAACATATTTACAATTGGCATATAAAGCAAGTTTACCCATTAACACTTCCCGGAATCGAGAATCGCGAGCGCTTCGTGCCAATCTGTTTAAATCGAATCAAGCCAGCCCCAAGCCGAATAATGTGTCTAATTGATGCCGTTAGTAGGCAGGCACTCACATCCAGTTTGCCTACATAATTTTTGCATAAATTTAAATATCATCGTCACACTTCGTGCCCAGGCGCTATACACGCAGACAAAGCGTGAGACGAAGAGAGAGAGAAAGTAGGAGAGCAAGAGGCAGAGACCAAAGTAGTATGTTAAGTGTTATCAAGTAGTTAATGCCGCGTCTTTTGATGTGTGACCAAGTACTTGCTTTCATTGAGTACTGTCTTCAATGGAACTTTAAGCACAGCTATTATGTGCGCGAGTTTAAGATTTTTAGCTTTGATCCTTAAGAGCGACGGTGCTTAGAATACCCTACGTGAATTAAAGGGCGCTTATATATATGGGAGGCTACAAGTATTTCTCTACTTCTTATGCTGCCTCATAGCTTGGCTGTCTAATTTATATAAGCTGTCTCTAACTAACGAAAGATCTTTCATTTCATTAAGATATTAAAAGAATTTGATTGCAACCTTAACAGTTCTGATAAGCAATAAAAACTTCTAAGAGAAACCTCAAATTGTAAGTTTAACAAATTAAATTCGTATTTAATATCCTTTCTCCATTCTAATCCTAATATAGTTATAAATCCAAGCAAATCTCTTATGATATTCAACATTCCGAAAGCTCCATAAAGCTATTTAATATTAATGATAAATTTGTCATTGTTTGGTTGCCTTAGTAAAACACTTTGCAATGCTGATTACAGGATATCTCTTTGTTTATTTTACCATGTGCCTTTGTCACATCCTGTTGCACACACACGCACACACACACACACACACATACATAGGCACACGCTCTACGCACAGAAGACAATCAGAAGCAAAGTGTCGCACTCTGCATATCAATCACATGTCAGGACGCTGTCTGTCAGCCGTCACATCATTGCGGGCGTGTGAGAATTTTGTGGCAACTCAAGCCGCGCGTCCTCTGAGAGAGAGAAGAGTAAGGGAGAAAAGTATTTCATGCATTTTGAGGACTATCTCAAACGTTCGCATTTTGCATATTCATTATACGTTCGTCACAACTGACAAAGTTTGTGCCATCATTCCTCCAA